CCGGCATCCTGTCGGAAACCCCAAGATTCAGAGTATAAGCCGCAGGCAGATTCCACGGGGACTTGTAGTCCTTTGCTACTCTTTCCACCTTTATTGTTTTTGGCCTTTTTTGCTTTTTTTACCTGCTGGTTTTGGTCGTACGCTGCGTCGTACGGTTGTGAGCGCGCTCAGTGGTGCTGCGACGATTTCCCATAGCCGGGCCCCACCTCGGTTATGGACAAGTATTCCAACTGTTACGCCACAAGGGCCATGATCGAACCACCCATCATATTGATTTTATCTTGAAACAATTTTCGCATGATTAATAGCCCTTCACATCAACTCTCGGAAACAACGCTTCTGATCGGTGAGATCGGCATTGACCCGCTCCTGAAAAAACCTTGTTACTCTGGAATCAGCCAACTCAGAGCTTCGTGAAGCTCTCCAAGATCTGCTTGTCATGCTAGCAGAATCAATAGGTGGTATTCATTAGCTGGAGCCGAAACATCCGTTTTTTTTGTTACAAGGATGTGATCTAATTAGGAAAATTGAGCTGTGGTAGTGGAAAGAATGAGGGTCTTTGGATGAACAGCGAAAAATCAAGCAAATTGAGGGGAACCGACAAAACTCGTAATGAATTTATTTTGAAACCTGACTATGCGAAATTTTTCTTTGAAAATTCTGCGCCGCTTTTCCCAACAAAAGCATCAAGATGAATGAGCCAACTGTATCGTCGTCTTCTTTTTGACACTTTTTCAATTATTATTATACTTACTTTTTATATTTTTTGATGCATTTAAAAACACAACAATCTATGTGAGTTTGTGAAGTTTACAATGTGTAGATGCCACATGGTCATCTAGCCCTTCATTTATTTCCTACGACCTTAATTCAATTACGTGTCATTTATCTGAACTGTCGCCGTGAGGTCACTAGAGCCCTGAAAGTGCACGATGTACTCAATGAAGACATTAAAATTAATAACAACCTAGACAACCATCCGCGGTTAAAGGCACCGGTCGCAATTACACAAATCCTCAGAGAAATTGTCTCTTTGATGAGATAACAGGAACCCTAACCACAGGGATGGCAGTGTTGCCGCTATTCGAAAGACAGCGACAACGGAGCTAATGGCTTCGCTTGATCGCTGCGACCGCTGCATTCTTACCGCTCTCAGCACACATGGCGTCTGCGCCCTCTCGGGCTCGGAGTGTTTTCTGATGTTCCCAACTCCCCTCTTTGCAGCAGTGTGTCTCTCCGTGCTATCAAGGTCAACTTCACAAGAAAAACTCCAGTGTTCATGCTTTTTGCCCCCCCCCCCCACGAACATTCCTCTTCGCACACCTTTTCCCATTTTCAAGCAAAAGTTCACATCGAATCGTACGCGATCCGTGCCTTGAAGAGTTCCCGCATGGTTTCTATGATTAAGTGTCTGCCACGCATTAGAAGAGATTTTGATGTAATATGCCCCTTTCTCAGATAGCCAAGAATTACACTGAGAGTTTTTCGACGACCGGGGCATATTGTTCCTAATGTGTAGCGGGTGAAGGCTACACATTAGGAACAATATGCCTCCAATAATTTCATGCCTCGCTCTTAGCTGTTCAAAGAGAAAGCTCAGCCCCATTAAAGCAACAATCCAGGAACGAATTTGCGGGCCAAAAGCACCTATATGGAAGTTGTAGGTGAAAAGTGGTCGAACGTAAAGAGAAAAAGTGAAGAAAACGCCCAACTGGGGCTTAGACAGGGACATGCCCTGCCGTTTATGGGGGAGACGTGTGTTGGACGAGTTGTCCGAATCTGCTCGCAGTAATGCGCTTCAATTGCGATTGCTTGCAAATACTTGGCTGATTGCTAGCAACTGTAATTGAAGCGCACGCTGAAATGAAACCTTGAATCGAAGAAGGGGACACATTGAAAATCAAATACATTCGGCATCGAATTTTCAAAGGATAGACCTCAAATGGTCGCGGCGGTCCCGCAACGACCGCTAGTCAAGCATGGACTCTGCACAGCGTATGTTGAGCGATCCGCCTCGGTATGAGTGATCCGCCCCCTCCAAGAGGACTTCGACCCCTTCCAGCGCATTTTAGAGGTAGGTTTTGAACTTAAAGACATTTCCTATAAACTTTAGTTGGGCTGGGGCATGTTTTGACCGCCTAATGACCAAGTAGTTGAAACCCTGCCTGGACTGTTGCTTTAAGATATAAGAGAGATATGTCGAGATAGAAGGGAGATATCTATCTTTACACATTTGATTCAAATACGTTTAATGTTCCTAAATTTTCGAAATATAGCCACGTTCTTTTTCCTTTGACATCCGTACAGCTGCCGTCCCTTTCTTTCAAAATTCACTCGATTAGGTGAAGTAACATCAGAAGTACGTGAAGCTGTGAGCGCAACATTCTAATGCCAGAGAGAACGAAGATTAAATCTCCTTAATAAAAGTTCTTGGAAACAATTGAAAAATTGGTATTCATATGCCTGCAATACGAGAACCCCGATGAAACCTACTTCTGGAAACTCGTTCATCGGTGCTCTTCACTTCAATACGCCCCGTCTCAAAAATGAAACAAGGCTCCTATTTGAGAATTTTTTGGTGAATATTTGGTCGTACTTGCTATAACAGCAAGGGGTGATACTATAGTCGCGGATTGGCAAAGAGCGCCCACTCATCCTTATCCATTTCACGGAAGCGTTGCTTATCTGGGCAACACCTGGAAGGCACTAACAGGCGGGTGCCGGTCATTGGAGGCTGGCCGCCTTGGAAATTAATGTTCCAACAGATTCTACGGTCTCGAACGGGAACCAAATGCATGGTGTGTCTGGACTCCCAAGCTCGTTTCTTTGTTTGAATTTACAATCACTTACAAATATCCCACTCTTTATTTGAGGCAAAATGGTCGGCTATTTCATAATGCTGAAGGATACGGTAGTCCTGCAGCTGAAAGTGGTATATGTATTGCAGTTTGAAGTAAAGCAATTACCCATGACATTTTAAACTAATCAGAGCGCAGACAAAAAGAAAATTCCTTTCTCCGCATCTCTGACTCGACGACTCATCTTCCAGAATGAAATAGCCAGAAGTACAAGTACGAGCCAGAGGTTTTGTAGAGCTATTTGGTCGCCTGGCGGCCCACTTTATTAGCGAAGCAATGCAGTAGTGAATGTACTTTCTTGTGTTATGATTTTGCAGACACATGCAAACCGCAGAATAATTAACTCGTAGTACTTTGACTACGTATCATGAGTAATTCGTCTGTGAACATCTACTTAGGGACAGAAATCTGCAACTGATTTTGGGAATTCCTGCAAAAAGAACGCTGCAGCTGCATGCTGCAGGCAGGTGCTTCACTGGCTTTTTCCATGGATCATTCTCTAAGTGAATTTTTTTAATTGTTCCATTAGTAACGAAAGAACAAAGAGATTGCTAAAACCGTTAAACACTTATAATGGAGGTTCTTTCAAAATGTGGAGCGCATTTTCAAATCGATTTTCTGCCTATTATATGAATTCATGAGTGAGCGAAATGGAGATCCGTTTTCGAAGAGAGGCCCGCGAAGGCCAAAAAGGGTGAATAGTTGGTCTAACGTTCAGTTCCCGGTGATGACAAAGTTTTTGGTATTTTAGCTTGGAGATTCCAGATTTGCTTCGAATGGCAACAGCGCCAACAGTGGGTGTGATGTTTATCACAGGACCACCACTAGCTTCGAAGTTAATCTCTTACCGAAGTTCAGCAGCACCGCCCACTCCTAGCAATGTCTTTTTTTCGGTCGTTTTTTGGCCTTCAGGGCGAAAATGGCCCAACGTGAGCCTATACAACATACGAAAAATCGTTTTGGAAAAGCGGCCCACATCCAGGAAGAAGTGATAGGACTTTGATCCAGGGTCAACCGTTACGTTGGACCGACATTGGACCGACGTTTTGCCGACGTTGGATAGACGTTGACCGCTCGGCACATTTTGGGACAACATGTTGGACCACCCCCCCCCCCCCTCAAAATTGAGTTACGGTGTTGGCAGCTGTAAAGATGGGGTTATTTTTGCAACTCAAAACGCGTGGGCGCTAGAAGCTTAGATCTTGCAACTAAGAAAACCTAAAGGAAGCATGCACGCCTAGCGTCCGGGTATCTGTCCTCTCTCCATGTAATGATCTTTCGTTATCGTCTTTCCTTCTCTCACCTTGGCACCGAATGTTGCTTGGAATGATTGTTTCTCGGGCTCGTTGTCGTCTACAGATAAGAGGGCCCTATTGAGTGGGATTTCACTGGTTTCTTTCTTAAGCTCAACGCGGCAACTATTACCAAATACATACTTTTCGTTTACACCCCATAACTACCACTTCTCGCTGCCTCGAGACGTACCTTTGAAGGAGGTCCACAACAAAGTCAAAGGTCGTTGAAGGGGAAATTTACCTAGTGGAAAGGCAACCCCTTTAAGAGGGCTTACTGACCCGCAATCTGCACTGAAGGATAAACACCGACGACCTAGCGTGGCCATGCCCGCACCGTTATCGGCGCGGCACGACCACCGCCTGACTAAACACTTGCCGCAGGTCTCTAACTGCTTAGCAGGGAGTGAGAGAGAGCAAGAGAGGGAGAGAGCGTTAGCTTTGAAGAGGGCAGCATCGATGAGAGTAGAATCAAGAAAGAGTCCCGTTCCTTGGGTTCTGGGCCGTTTTCCTTGGTTTTTTCTTCATCCCAGCTGCACTGACCACCTCTAACCTTACTCGGATGGGCTGCCTTCTGATCGTAAAGTGCCTTTGAGATAGCATCGAGCATAGCATAGACGCTGCGTTGACTGGTGGTGAGTTCTTGACGGAACCACGAATCTCCTTATCAAGGTGGAAACTGATGAAGTGCTCGGCAACGATCAAATGTTTTGCGATGCGCTGCGCGTTTGACTTTCATGCTGAGAGCACATATCTGTAAATAAGTCTCCTCCAGTATCTGCCTTCAGGGATAAGGCCAAACGTCTTTATATCTGCAGAAATCTTATTCCTAAAACTGTTTAACTATGAATTCTTCTTTCAGCAACAACGATGTCCCGACAACACGGCTCCAGTATATGATCCTGGACGGTTTTCACCGCCTCAACTCGACACACCACCACCGCCAGTGTTGAATACTGCCCAACAGGTCAGCTAATTATGTAGATGTTCGGTAGCGAAGTTGATCAACGAAATGTGCGCTAAAAATCCTGCTCGCCACCACATTCTCTTCTGCTCGCAAATAACGGAGCGTTTTTAATATTCAATATCGTTTTCAATATTTTCAGTATTCAGTGTTATGTTTTTTTTTCATTCACAACGTCACACATTATTCATAACAGTACTCCAAATGTCATACCGATTTGCATATTCAAAAAGTTCAGGTTTACTGGTGATATCAGCTCAAATATTTTACAACTGCAAGCTTACTATGATGTAAAGTTGCTCAGTTTGAGAAAATCATTAACGGTAACCCAACTTGATCGTATTTGGAGAAAAGGCGGCCGGCCAGAAACGGCGTTAATACCCCTGAAAGTGAGATAATGTATCAGGGAGAAAGCAAACGGTTGGAAATGGAGTTGTTAACCCCAAAAGTAATAACTGGCCTACTTTTGAAAAGCGTAAATGTAAGAAAACGCTTGTATCCTATTCCGTATGGGGCGCATAGGACAAGCCTCGAGAAAACCTCAGGTTATTTCGTTTTTGTTAAATTTCAGTCTACGGGTGTCCCCCAAGAGGCCCGTCGCGCGGCGAAGGAAGAGACGCAGACGCGGCAAAGGACGAGTCGCAGCGCGTGCTGTGCGATATGAGACGTAGTATGGTACACTCTATTTAACCTGACGCCTAACCGCTACAGTATGCGCTGCGACTCGTCCTTTGCCGCGTCTGCGTCTCTTCCTTCGCCGCGCGACGGGCCTCTTGGGGACACCTTTCAGTCTACTAAAATTAGCTCATTTCTTCGCTTTTTAAAGCAACAGCCAAAGAACCAAGGTGAGGTCCTGTTGAGCAATGCAAGGGGGGGCAATAAAAAAAACGAATATCCATGAGCATGGATAAAAACATGAATAAAAACATTTTTGTCTCCACAATCAGATGGATTTAAGCACACTTTGCTCAATTCAGACCGAATGGTTCCAACTTATTATTAAAGAGCACATTCCATTCTATAAGAAAATCTTCATAGTGGCCACCTACGTGGACGGCATCAGAAAAAATTAGCCCTGGAAACATGGTGCACTGGTCGAGCTCAATGGGGTCTTCGAAGCAGTTACGGTACGTAGCTCTCCTTGAGCTGACGACGGTGACAGATGACGTCATATTCTGAAGACGGTGAGGGCAGTGAAGGAGAGCCTGCGTACTATAGAGGGAACACTTAGGGAATACTTTGCTGAGGAACTCCCGTCAACGACGGCAATCTCTGCGAAGAAAAAAGAGCCGAAGTGCGACATAGGCAAAATGTCTTTTTTTGCCCCCCCCCTGTATACGTACAACTCCGCAACTCGTCATATTGGCAGTTTGATTCTGAGCTAACCATCAGTGGGGTGCAACCTCCTCTCCACGGAAAACCCGCAAATCCGTCCAAATTTAAACCCTTTTTATTATTGACTTTACGAACTACCGCATTCTCCCCATCTTCTCTTCTTCTACTCCTTTTTCCTTGTGCTTTTCTGCCCCATCCTCCTCATCAAACTTTTATCTCCTATTTTTTGTCTGCTCCCCTGTCTACCTTCAAAATCGCCCACCAGTTGATCTTTTCCTTTCCGGTCATCCTTTCTGTCCAATTGCCCTTGGTGTTTTCAGTCCTCTTTTCCTCTCTTAACCCTCTTTTCCCTTTTCTGTTCGCGGTCTATTCCTATTCCTTTGTCCCTCATTCTCTCTGATCATCTTCTACGAGGCACCCTTCTCCCTGAATGCCTTTCATTCACCGTATTTATGACTGGGTAGTATTCCTTCTCAAGCACGTGCTTTTCCCTTCCAGTAAACAAGTGCTGTTCTCGGTATCGAAGACGAACAGAGAAAACAAATGACGTGGTGAAGAGGTGAAGTTGACGCTGTCATCGGGACTGAAAGCCATAATAAAGCCATTGTTTTGGGCTCAAAATTACTCCAAAATTACTTTGCCACAAATAGCAACTGTTCTCTGCTTCTTAAGCACTTACAATTAGTCCGAAAGTTGCGACTCTCCACAAGGGACCATCAAAAGAGCCAACGTGGAGAACTACTACTGGTATGGGCCCATACCCGGATTTTTCGAAGCCTGGGCATTCCGACTGTGTATTTCTTTTGTTTTACCTTACAGGTTTGTTATGGTGGAATTCTTTATTGGTCGACGTTTCGGACAACCGTCGTTTTCAAAACCTAAAACGAACGCTAAAGACTTCATGGTTTTGCTGTAGCCTGACCAAGATTTCGGCACTTTTTTATTAGGCTTACGTTTCGGCCTCTTCGCCTTCGTCAAAGCCTGAAAAGTCTAAAAGCAAACCGATCCTTTCGTGGGCCAACAAACCTGAACACAATTTCTTCCAGACTACCAAACCAAAACAGGCGATTGAACCAATAGGGCTATAAGGCTTACCTAGACCATTTTGCCGCTAAGGCGCAAAGAGATCGACCACCCCAAGAAGCAGACTTTAGCGTGGAATGAGCGAACCTAAAGACTAATACTAGATATGTCGTCCCAGTAATCGTAAAGCCAAAGGTGTAATCTCTAACAAGGGAAGGATCCCAGGTCGAAGTGGCCATTCGTAATGAAACCTATACTCACATACGTGTTTTCGGACGCTGATTTCAAATCCGTCCTCCAAATTTGCGGAACGATTCTCTGAACAGAGTTACAAAGGTTTCAAATGAATGGCTGTTAGAAGAGACACCCTCAGCCCCCTGCAGCAGCGGCGGCCTGGCAGAGTGGTAGTGGGGGCGCATGTTGGTGGTGAGACTATGGTTCGGATCCTGGTCATGATGAAGTTTTTGCATTTTGTAATTTTGCTTGTTTTCAAGCTGAAAGACCATTCAGTGTTGAAATTACGCCATGTACAACGCTGTCAAGTGTTTGCAACGTGTTCTGTTGTTGGTATCTTTGCCGTTTATAGATTGGTCTCTGTCACTGCAATGACGTCACTTTCTGTGACGTGGCAGTACCCCATACCACTACCCTGTACAATAATTGATCGAAAACTTCATAAAGAAAATAGGTCGTACTTGAAGGAAGGAGCATGCAAACACGTTGCAAACACTTGAAAGCGTTGTCCATGGCGTAATTTCAACACTGAATGGTCTTTCAGCTTGAAAACAAGCAAAATTACAAAATGCAAAAACTTCATGACCAGGATCCGAACCATAGTCTCACCACCAACATGCGCCCCCACTACCACTCAGCCAGGCCGCCGCTGCCGGCAGTGGGCTGAGGGTGTCTCTTCTAACACGGCATTCATTTGAAACCTTTGTAACTCTGTTCAGAGAATCGTTCCGCAAATTTGGAGGACGGATTTGAAATCAGCGTCCGAAAACACGTAGGTGAGTATAGGTTTCATTACGAATGGCCACTTCGACCTGGGATCCTTTCCCTTTGTCAGAATAAGGGATTAGGTACCTTCCGCAAGCAGTATCAATTTCCACGCCGGTACCATTGATTTTGCTGTCCCCGCCATGTTCCAGAAATGGGGAAGTTGTTGTAGAATGTGGACAGAAAATACTAAGGGTTGAACTAATCTATCGGCTCACTTACCACGTTGTGTTGTTATGAGTCTAAAAATATGGTCTCATAATCAAGTGGTGGGCCTAATAATAGCAAGCAAAGCCGTTGCAGCTGATATATCCCGAATCTCTTTTGATGACGCCATTCATAGATGAGTGATGACGAAGTGGTGCAGCTAGGTCCAGCAGCTGCGCCAAAAGGGCTGGTTTGCTTACTTTCCGTTCGAATCGACAGATTCATCTTATACTATTGTTACCTCCTTTTTCTTTTATCCTGAGCATTTTCTACAGTTATTTATTTCATTTATTTATTTATTTATTTATTGCACGCGCAGGTGCGCTGCATTGATTCACAACTTAACATCAGTAAAACTGGGGAATTTTTTAAGTGAACCAGCTAGGCAACCGAGATAAAGAGATGATTCTTGGAACCCACTTGAAACTCATGTAACTTAATTGTCAACAATAGCTAAATAAATAAAAATAAAAAATAAAACCCCATAATATGACAAATTTTCTTGTGGAAATCTATAGGTGCATAGATTGCACAGTTGCACAACACCATAATGGAAACTATCGTTTCAGGCGGATTTTGATAACGGTGGCGCCTCCGGTGATGACATATTTTCCTTTGAAAAGCACAACAACAACTGTTGGAGCAGCAGCGCAAAAATGAATAGTGTATGTTTGTAAAATCGGATATTTATCGATTGCTTTTTTATGATGTTTCTCCAGCATTGGTCATTCGATTTCCTGACACCATTCCCACTTAGGGAACGCTTCCGGTCCTCTGCAATCCTTCTGAATATTTCCGACGTGGCAGCACAGTGCACACATTAACCCATTTTCCTGGTTTTTGAGCTATTCTGAAACTGAACTACAAAATCCTTGTTCTTGACACCGCCCATTTCGGCTCATTGCCATCCAACGTAGAGGGGTTCTCGCTTAGGCCGATGTCAGACTTTGCGAATCGAGCGACTAGCTAACGCGCGCGGTCGTCTTTCGAAATATTTGGCCCGACCCCAACCCCGTGGCCGCAAATATATTAAGCGGCCCATACCGCCAACCGTACTATTTGCCCAGACCCAACGCCCGGTGCCTCAAAGAGTTTCGAACAAGGTGGTGATACTGGGGTCGACTTAGGATCTGACATGGAGTCATTTGCCTGCCAAGCTGACGCTGCAAACTGCTGCATTCTCAATAGCAGCATACTTCGACCCATCCCGTGCCTCTCACGTCTTCTCTCTTTTTGGCAAACGCTCGTCTGCTCCGGTCCGTGTCACGATCGACGCTCAAAATTTTATATTTTCTCACATGGTATTCTTACCCCACTACTGTTTCTTCTCTTCGCATTCCTTATTAGAGTTCTGAACAAGGTAACACACCGATTTGATCACGACCTGTGCCTTTAAGTTTTGTGGCATCATGTCAACAATTGGAAAGTGTATTCTGAGGGGCTTCCACTGACACTTCCGTCAGAATCGAGTGGCACAATATAGAGACTTAAGCCGCTTGCTCAAGTTGCATTGCGTCAGTAACGTGCACGAAGTCAGCAGAAGTCTATCAGTTCCGATATATGTAGCTCCTCGTCACACTGCTGCCTGTATAATTTGGTGGACCAGCCACATTTTCCCGGATTCGCACCTCTCCATTCCTTTTCCTCTACCTCTGCTGGCCCGTTTGAGTAGATTTGTTTTTCCCTGTATTTTGAAATTTTTTATGTTAAAACAAATGTTCGCTTATCCTTTTTGTCTGGCTTCGTTATTAATTCATTTCAGCACCCAGTAACGAGAAAGTTCAGTTTGGCCGACAATTTCTACTCACCGCATCCACAGCATCATCCAGATTCCGGTGATACGGTAAATTCAAAAGTTTTTATCCTGAGTGATCTCCGAAATGTTTTTCTCTACGAAGCACTCGTTTATGAACGGAAAGGTCATCTTATAAAGATTGCGTAGTATCTTGTGGTGCCATTATTTTGATTCGTAACTATACGTTTGTCTTTAATCTGTATATGGCTTCGTCTTTCTCGAACCATGACTCGCATAGACCAGGTGTTATAGAATTTTCATACCTTCCCTTGGCCGCTGCAGCCGCTGCCATTCTTCTCAAACGCAGCACACGTGGCGCCTGCACTCTTCCTTTTCCTTCCCACGCTACAATGTGTCTCTCCGCCCCACCACTTCGATCTTGCAAGCGGAATTTGATTGTTTTCAATGGTACTTTGCTTCTTCTCCTCAATAAGGTCTCTTTTCTCATTTCTTGTCTTTTTTTGAACAAAATAACCCACCAGTTTGAATGCTACCAGTACCTTTAACCAAGGATGAGTCCAAGATACTCCTGACCATGCTGGATGAAATTGTGTTCAAAAATGCTATGGTCCTGGTGGAGAAAAGTCCTGTGCATCCCACATAGGCAGTTCTCTGAAGCAGACCACAATCCCGTTTTCTCGCTCAGTTTCTTTGATTCTCTTTATTTTGTGAAAAGTTTCCAAATTATTTCTGATATGCTCGACTTCCACGCCATTCTCTGATTGCTTCGCATTTCTGAGCAGGACATTTTTTGATCCTATTTTTCATTTCCAGTGTTTTTCGACTTATCAACCTACATCACACCCTCTTTCAAAGATTAGCTGAGAGTTAGCGTGCTCGAGCATCCCTTCAAGATAAACATGTTTGTTTATGGCAAAAAGAACATAATAACACCCGCACGGCATTTTACCGCATCATCCTTATAGGGGAACGGCTCGGCATGAGAGTGATTTTCAAAGTCTGAATTCCTATTCTTTTGTAATATTATACTTAGGGATCAAGGAGCACATACGTCAGACTGACCATTAAGTGTCTTCTTTTCGTATAACCTCAGAATTGAGTGTGAAATAAGGTTTAGAAAGGCTGCTTCAATAATGGTTTCAAGACAAGCGTTGCGATCAAAATGGTGTGCTATTTCGCTCGAAAATAAAACAAAACAAGAGGAGACGAGAAAATCGTCTGTGAGAAACAAAGGCAAGGGAGCTATAGGATACGCTGGAATAAGAGGTCTCATTTTCTTGTGAGGTCGACTGTGGTACGACGGAGAGATAGTGCGCGGCGAGGGGAGGAAAAGAAGAGATGGCACGTCAGACGAGAGGGCACAGACACCAGACCGCAGACGTCGGGTAGAAGTGGCAGTTTTCAAGGCAAGCGTTTAGCGCACTTCCATGCCATCGCAGAACATACTACCTCTGAACATGCTACCTTTCATAAACTTTTCGACCTCACTCACAAAAGGAACTATTTTGAGGATCTACAGGGGGGGGGCCAAAAAAAGAGTCACTCTGACTCACATTCAAAACAGAATTAATTACACTTTGCCGAAACCAAACCGAATGAGCTCAATTGCATATTGAAGAGCACATTCTATTCTATCAAAAAAATTACATAGGGCTTTCTACACCGACGACATCAGAAGATTTTCCCACGGAAACATGGTTCACGGTACGAGCTCAACGAGGTCGTCGAGAAACCATAGACGATTACGACGTCTCTGAAACGCTGGTCAAAAGCCATTTGCATAGTCAGAGCTAGTGTCCCTAAGAAGCCATTCACCAGTTATCCGATTGAAGAAATTATGTAGCAGCTTCAGAATGGAGCGATTATGGTAGGCCTCCTTGAGCTCGACGGTGATGACAGATGACGTCATATTCTGGAGACGGTGAAAGCAGCGAAGGTGGGCCTGATTCTGCTTATGGGGGGACATCTAAGGAATAATTCGCCGTATAACTCCCAATAACAGCGGCATCCTTTGCGATGAAAAGTTTGATGATATGCGCCATGGGCAAAGTGACTCTTTTTTTTTTGCCCCCCCCCCCTGTATTCGCGACCATTGCTTTCGAATAATTAGCGGTACGGGTTAGATAAACTTCTAAACATGTGTGACTTGTATATTTTCGTCTCGAGAAGTCTGGAAACGTGATTCCTTTTTGCTCATCCATCGAGGGTGCACAAAATTCAAAAGTGGGCAAGGGACGCTGGCTTCTGCTGATGGTGAAATAGAAAATATGCGTTCACAGCGCGCACGTTGTGGACTCAACACCCGTTTGCTCAGCTCGCTCCTCTGTCTCGCATGAACCAACGAAGCTTTTCATCCATCTGGAGTCGTTTCTTGGGTTCAGACTTTCGGCAGGATGATGTACTGTCATATATCAGTGAGAGTTGGATAAAGCTGCATTCAAACCACTACTACGATCTGACGAATGTTTATAGAATGCGTGACGCTCTTCAAAGTGAGGGTTTGACCAAGCTGATGTAACAATATTTTTGAGAAACAAGAAGGAGGAGAGTGAAGTTCTCATTGTCACGATAAGAAATGATGTCGCCAGTTTTGCTGAATAAGCAGAACATTCTTTGAACATTCGCTATCTCTGCGATCATCTCAAGCAACCAAAGAAATCGACTGTCGAAGTAAATTCTTTCTTTCTGCAGATTTTTGATTGTTTTTTGACTTTATCATTTGCTAGGCTCTCATCGGTCTGCCATTTGCTAACTTGAACCGCTAAGGTTGTCAATCTTGTGATTCAGTGATTTGTCTTTCGATCGCTTAGACACTACCACGTCGCTATAGAGACCACTTTTATTCGCGAAATCTGACAGCAGACGAACGCCCTCTCCGCTAGTTGGTTCGAATCTGGGCCAGATGCTGTGACACGAGCGGTGCAGGTATGTCCATCTTAGACCGCTGGGGAAATATTCCACGCTACGGAACGCGCATTACCTCGCAACCGTAAAGGGCCGCCGGGCTATCGACTTGGCTCTTCACTCGGCTTTTCGTGAAATCCTCATCATCAGTCATCATGTCGCCAATACATGTCATCTACATTTACTTTTTAAGAGCGTGCACTTTGCTCACCTCATGGCCAAAAATTGTTCTTCGGGTGCCATTGCTTCGTAAATTGACAAAGGTGATTACGTTCAGGCACATCCCGCAATATGTTCAGATTTATCGGTCTATTTAGTAGGTGGGATAGAGCTTTCCACTGATGTCACAGATGTCCCCTTATCTCGGTTTGGAAGTGTGCAAGAAGGGCGCTAGAGCCCGACTCCGTTTTTTTTGTTCGCAACGTGTGGCTGTCTGCGCCATCTCAAATGTCGTACTCTCTCATTAGTACTCTAACTGTTCACTCGGTGTCTCACTGCCTTAACTCAGCTGAACTACTAAAGTGGGAAATGCTCAATCTTTAGTGTTTCCGACTGGTTTTTCACCTTTTTTGTTCACTTATAGCCAACCTGCTTTCATTACTTGATTTTCGAGCGCGATAGTTAACGCTATAGACTTCTAGGCTCCCATATAATCTCCTCAGGGTCCTAGATGACGGTGACGAAGAGAGTTCTCAATCTCAAAACGTCCCATAACAGTCAACGAAAATCCACGCATCATAGATCCCGAATTGAATGGCAATCTGGTTCATCATCCCCCGATTCATAGTAGTGTGTATTGTACTCTCTGTGTCAAGTGAGCTTATGATTAATGCCGATTATGCTACAGTAAATGCAGATTGCACTTCACCTGCTGCATTCGATCTTCTAAAGAGTCGTGAGTAAAGCCTCGCTCACAGGCGAAACCTCTTCCCTTTTGAGTAAGGACAATCTCTTAATTCGAGACATCATATGTTTCAAGAAACCATTGCTGTGGAGTTACAAAGTTCTGCCATCGGTTTCTATGGAGATCCCACGTTCCCATCAGTGCTCTCCCCATGAGCCCTTTTATCTCGAAAATTCGCAAGCTGATAATAGAATGCAAGAGACAATAGAATCGAAACATTAATTATGTGAACGTTGTTTTCATAGATATTTTACCCTATCTTACTATGTGCTTTCTATCCTCTTTATTTGGCAGCGCTGGCTGATTTTTCTCGTTTCCCTGCTAGCAAGGGTTCTCACAATCTGAACGGGATACGGTGCCAACCGAGAAGTTCAAGGGCAATGTCCGGGAGGAGGCTTTTCATTAGAAACATGTCAATGAATTGTTATGTTCGCACATACAGAGGTCACTCCACCTGTGGCGCACAAAATACGACGATTATACATTTAGGTGTGATGAAAATATCAACCCCATCCTCATGCAACTTCTCGCCACTGCGGCGGTCAGCAACGACGGCCTCGGCTACATGCAATGTGGATCGTGGCCTATCGGCTAATAGGCCTAAAGATGAGGTATGAGATTGAAAGATAGCAATTTGTGCGTCTATGCTCAAAATAAGGGCGGAAGTGGTGTAGTGGCAAGTGGCACGCTTACCACGTGCATGGTCCGGGGATCAAATCCTGGGTCGGCCAACCAAGCCTTCCATCCCTCCGGGGTCGGTTAATTGGTACCAGACTTGTCTGGGAGGATAAAAACACTGACTTGTACATCGGCTGGCCCCCGCAAGTCATTGTATAGGCCACATCGCATTCAAACGCCACTACGAATGTTTCTAGCAGCACCACTACCACACAGCCTGCCCTTTTCCATGGACGAATATGTAGTGGACCACTTCCGTAGGCCAGCTGAGGTTCCATCGTTTCATTGAGTCTTCGTGTTCAAACCATAAACGGTTCTTTAGCAGAATGACTGCAAATACTTACCTATACATCGGGTCACCTCGGCCAGCCATTGTGTGGGCAGTTACGCCTTTGAATGAAGGATGACACGCAGTTGTTGTTGTCCTTAATGTAATAATAATTTTCCAAATGACTTGCGTCACATTGCCCTAACGTGACGTTCGTGTGGGATGGGCTAAGCAGCATGGCACGTGGTATACGATGGCGAACATCTTACTACGACAGTGTGTAGATAATCTAAGGCATTAGGCTTATCCTTCGATCCTACCGAGCACCCTCTTACTCAAAAAAACTTACCCTTGAAGATTTCTGACACGTGGAAAGATAAGCCTCTTGAAGGGTGAACAGTGCCGTTTTCATTTTATTCTTCGCAAAGCATCAGCGCCGACGTGATGTTCTTCATGAATTTCTCATCCATTTGGGTTAGTTTAACACTGTTGTTCTTAGATGCAAACTAATTCTGGGAAAACTTTAAACATCCAATTTCCAAGAACAGGCAAAGGACATCGTGGTTTAGATGACCTTTTCCTTACCGTAACCAGTTCCGGTACTACATAAGTTAAAAGCATAAGAGTATCCAAAATTGATCAATGGGCTTGATGGCTTACGATTCATGATGGTATCACTCGATTCATTTGATTTCCGAGCCGTTCGCCTGTTTTGGTGACAAGCAGCGCCATTTGCCACTGCACTACATCATGAGATGAAATGAATGTCGTGTTATCTTTACGATATGACCTGCACGCTCGACTTCAAGACGGTTTTGTTGAACTCAACCGAATCCTGGCGATCGGTATTAGCCTTCTTCTCTTCGAGGCTCCATTTGGTAGGGGACATCTCTGCAGTGATTTGAGCTTCACAGTACAAAGCTTTGCCACTTTTTGAGAGTGCCGTTTTAAATTCGGTTGGACTTTTTCAAACAACCGCCTGAACTCCCATCAAAGAGCGGTGCTGAACTAGTACCTTTTTCCAGAGACCTCGATAGCTCCCCTGGAAAGAAATGCTTTGAAACCCAACACAATGCTGTGGCGACTTTCGCCAAGTTCATCACCTACTGA